TCAATGTGGCCCATTGAGGGGGGCCAATATGCTGAAGTGGCCCTTGGTGAAACTGAGTTTGACACCCCTGGTCTAATACAAGGAAAAGATTAAATCAACAAGATCAAAATACCCACATCAGGATGCTGTCACCGCGGTACGCTGTGTGAAGCTTTTTCCACCAAAACATTGATTACTAGCAGAAAAACTTCAAGATTTTTGACCCTGAGTGCATTTTTAAATTGTAACCTGGTTTTTAATGTCGCTTTTTGAGTGACGGCTTCTTCCTTGTTGAGTGGCATTTCAGGCCATGTCAGTGTCTTTTTACATATGAAGTCTGGAAATGTTTACCTATTTGAGCAAATAAAAGTTTCACCTTCAGGTTTCCGGAAATTTACATTTTGCTGATTTCCTTACATTTTTCCATTTACCTTAAATTCTGTGAAATGGCGTTTAAAAAGTTTCAGTAAGCGACGTCTCCTCACTTCTTCTGTACGACATGAATGGCGAGCTGAATAAATGGAAACGCTGTGCGCGTGTGTGTGTGTTTCATAATGAAATTGCAAAGTCCATTACCGCAGAGATATTAATAAAGCCAGCGTACCGACTTACTGTACATGCCCATCCATCCTCTCTTCTGTCCTCACCAATTACATCTAAATAAATCTCCGGCCCACATCCAGAGACACGAATGCTTTTAGCTGGTCTAAAAATGGCTGCACTTCAGCATCGCATCAATAGGAAATACCTGCCCACGGTTTCCAAACAATACTCAAGGGTCGGTCTGTTGTTCCACAATACACAGTTCTGCCTCAAATTAAATCTTCATTTTCTTAGCTCTGCTAGCATGTTGACCTTGCTCTCTCTGGAGGAATGTCACCTTTCTTTGTTTGAATCTGAACGTTGTTTACTTTCATTTTACTAGAGAAACACAAAACAAACTAATGAGCTCAGAACAACATTATTGAGACAAAGACGGACTTGTTCATGGCTACCTGTGGGTGTCTGGTCTCCTCTGGTTGAGAACCTCGGAGTGAACGATCAAATCTGACAGAAGAGGTTTGATCAAGACCGTCAGGTTGCCCAAAGTTGGACCGGATTCATAGAGAGCAACCTGCAGAATGCACTGTTTGTTGCTCCTAGGCAAGACCGGACTTATTATTTGGTGCTCACATTTCTCTGCATCAGACGGACTCAGAAGAAGAAAATGCCCTGAGGGGACAAAACAAAGAAGCATCTATTTAGATGTATTTTAAACAGGAACTATGATGCAAAATTTAGCATGTATTTGTACTTCCATTTGGGTTTCTACTTTGCAAAAATACAAAATTTTACCAACCACTATTGTCTTGTTTCTAGTACTCTTGAAATAAGACAAACTACAAAACTTCTCAGCGAGAAAAGGAGGCTTGTTTTAGGTCAATAATGTTTTAATATTTATGAAACACTCGAAGTAAAAAGGGAGATTTTAATTTTGATGTTTGATTTAGATTTAGAGTAACTACACTGAAAAAACACAAAATCTTACCAAGTAATTTTGGTCTTGATTAGTGCAAATTTTTAACATACTTGAAATAAGACAGAACTTAACTATTTCAGCAAGACATAGGAGCTTGTTTTGAGGTGATAATTCTTTAATATTGATGGAAAAGTACTAGCTCCACTATTATTTCACTTATTACAAGACATTTTTCCTATAACATAAATAATCTGGCAATGAAACTAGCACTTTTTCATCAATGTTAAGGAATTATTTACTTAAAATAATACCCTATATCTTGCTGAAAATTTACTTATAAGTTAGTTTTGTCTTTTTTCAAGCATACTAAGATATTTGCTCTAGAAACTAGACAAAAAATATTTGGTAATAATTTGTTTTTTTGCAGAGTGCTGCTTCTTAAAACAGCCCAAACGCTTAAATAAAACCATCCAGCTGGTTTCTTGGCAGTAATTTCACGTTTTTCTGGCGTCTGGAAAATGAGATGCTTCAAAAACCTTCCAAATGTAACGGCACAAATCAGCAGGCCCAGCCTGTTACCTAGCAACCCCAGTGGAACTCTGCCCTGCTACCTAGCAACCCCAGCGAACTCTGCCCTGTTACCCAGCAACCCTAGCAACAAAAGATTTAAAGTGACAAGAGACCCTAAAACAGCTCATTATGAAATGAACTCAAAATGAGAATAAAATATAATTATCTAAGAATGATTATGTGTAAAAATGTAAAGAACATGTTAGTCCTATCCTAACCTGTTCAAGGAAGCATAATAGGTCACCTTTAAAACATCTTAGATCTCACATTTGGTCAAACTAAAATTAGTGAAATGCAAATCGATAATTCATCAGTGAGTCTCACCATCAGATCGGCCCAGAGAGTGATCGATTTCAGGCGTTGTCCTGGCCCCAGTGCCTTTGAGCTGCTGAGGTGAAACCACTGACCAGTCGCTGTGAGTGTTGTTGTATGTGAAAGTCCAGTAACACAACGACTCAAAATCACAAGAGGTAACTGCAACATAATCAGGGGTTAGTCATCTTCAGCATGAAATGCTTTCAACAAACCTTTAATTTTCAGAGAGGAGTGATTATGCAATGAAAAACTGATAAAAAACAAACAAAAAAAGATTTTATGCCTGAAACAGAGGATCTAAAACACATCTGTCAAACTCAAGGCCCAGGGGCCAAATCTGGCCCACCGTAGCTTCTTATGTGGCCAAATTACAGCTTTTCACAAATCTGCAAGATTCACGCAAATTTCACACAAAATCAACAGAGCCCCACATTTTTCTGATTTTACTGCAAATTTTTCTCAAAATTGGTCAGAAACATTGGATTTAAGTCACAGCTGCCTCAGCCTTACTTGATGTCAAATTATAGTCTGTGACTAAAAAGTCACATTTAACATCATACATTAGCGCAAATATCGGAAAAAATTCTTTGCAATTTAATTTCTAAATTAGCATCACAACATCTGTGATTCAGAAGGCAAAACAACACAAAAAGAATAAAAACCCAGACAGGATTGATCAATGAGAAAAGATGTTCAATTTTATTTAACTTTAAGAAACGGTTATTAAATGATGAAACAAACAGCTATTTATTAATATTTTAACATTTTAATGGGTGTCAATACATTTTGGTACAACTGGCCCTTTAAGAACATTCAGATTATTGATTAAATGAAAATGAGTTTGACTCCTGTGACCTAAAGTATCTTTGGGTTTGGTCAACAAGTGACAGAAGGATAAAGCAGGAGAGGAACGGAATAATTGGGCAAAGTCTGCAGTATAATGGGGAATATTTTGGTATGTTATGCTAAAAACAAAATAGTTAAAAGGATAAAAAAAACACTTTACAACCCCCAACTGCTAGACAAAGATGTGTGTTTATTTGAGCCTGTATGTATAATTCTGACCCTGTTTCTACAATAAATTCAAACTGAAACACCCAGTTTTTTTGTTTTAAAAATGTTCTCTCTCTTTCATCACTTAGCTCTGGAGAAAGGAAGATCTAAATAATTTATAATCATCAAATTAGCTCGACATCTGTGCCTCTGATGAGTGAATGTAAACCTTTGACCAAATCTGTAGCTAAACTAAAAACAGAGAAAAGCACAAAAAGCAGAAGCAGAAGCAAAACAGAGGTAAAATCTATGTTGGCAAAAACAAAATAGCAAATAAAAAACAACTTGGTCCAACTCCACAGTACTTAAAAACATCAAAACATGTCAAAAACCTCATGATTAACTAATGGTTTACATAAGCTGTGCGGTTTCACCCGACTTAAACTCAGTTTATGGCAGGCAGGCAGGCAGACAGGTCGGTTGTAAAGGCTGAATGATTGTGAGAGTGTGGGGGGCTGATGAACAGGATCAGAGGAGGAACTCATTCAAGATGTCATGTGATTAATGAAGAGGAAACAGCTACCATAAAACTAATAACACTAAATCCCTCTGGTTCCAAAAAAACCACAGAAATACGAGGCGTATCATTAAACTGTTGCTTCAGATGCCCTCTGTCAACACCTAAAATATCCTGTCCTAAAAATATCCGCCCTCTGATTGAAAGTGTTTCTCTCTCTGCTGAGCTGCTTCCATGCTGAGTTTTCACGTAACAAAGAAGAAATGAAACATTAACTTTTAATTCAGACCATGTATGTTTCATTTCGGTTTCTAGTCCCCAGAAATGCATTTGGAAGTTATTTCAATGTTTTATCTCTTCATTTTATGAAGGAGGTCCCTGAATTTCAGGTCCCTTTTCATTGCATAAAGCACAAAAACGCCCTTCTAAAGGTAATATATTACCCTTATTTATTTATTTCTTTGGTCAAATGCATTGATTCTTGATTTTTCTGAAATTTAAATTTTCCATTGATACCAAGTTAAGTTAAAGTCTAAAAAGATTCTGCAGATTTCTCCCCAAATATGCAAAATTGACATTTTAAGTATTTGTTTTTCGGTTTCAAAACTGGAGTAAACTTATATAATTCAAATCCATTTCTGTTTTTTTTAATTTATTTTATTTAGTTTTTGAAATGAATATACAATATTTATGTTGTAAATTACATTGTGAATTTCACAGTTTGACATTAAATCAGAATAAATTGACAGTCATATCAATAAATTTGAATATATATCCCTGAGTCTTGTTTTTCAGATTAAAAATACCTGAAAATAACAATAGTTAAGCAAGTATTAAATACTTTTTTTATCAAGCCCACATTTCTGTAATAAAATGTTATTTTTTTAATTGATTTGATGTATTATTTTTATTTTAAAAGTCATGTTTTCATTAAATGTAAGGGGGAAAAAAATCAAAATTAACAGAAATAAAGGTTTTCAAACATTTATCGGTGTGTAAATAATTTATATGATATGTTTTATTTAGTGATTAAGTTCTTGAAATAAATTGACTTTTCAATAATATTTTAATTTATTGGACGTGTCTGTATGGAACAATCTAGTTTCAACACTATCCCAAATATTACGCATATTGTGGCAAAAAAACATAAAAGATCAAATAAAAATATGCATAAAAAACAATAAAAAGACATTAATTAGAAACACTGAAGAGTCAACATAACAAAAAAAAATAGAAATATTGATCAAAGAAAATGTAAACTCTACTAATATTAAAACAACCAAAGTTATAAAAAATAAAACAAGAAAAGACTAAAATGGTGCCGGAGCCCCGGGTCAAAACGCTCAGATTCACATTCATTTAATTATCTCAAATCATCGTCAAAATATTCAGTTGAACTATGTGAACACATCAGTCTTACTCTGGGTGTCGTCCTCCAGGTGAGGCAGAAACTCATCTGAGAAGTTCTCGTCAAACGTGAAAGAAAAGGTCTGCCAGGCGTTGCTCACTGCAAACAGACAAACAGAGAGGAAGAGATTTTTTCCACCGTTTGGCTTTGGTTAAAAAGACAAACAACATTCTGCCTGGTTGGAGGAGAAAATACTCAAGTCAGATAAAGACTGAAGAGACGGCGCATCGAAAAACATTTATTAGCTGAATGTATGCACAGACTGAGCGCAGGGTCAGCCTTCCTTCCTCACGACTTCCATTTCCTGCCAGTACACAAAACCTTTCGTACCGTTCATCCTCAATGTTTGTGTATCACTTTATTTTCCTCTTTAAAGTTTTACTCAGATTTCTGGTTTAATTGAAGTTTATTTCAGCTCTTAGAATGAGTTTGTGTGGTCCCTGAAAAATGGTTCAAATTTGGCCTCTGGCATATGGAGCCGATGCTGATGACACTTTTTAAAACTGTTTTAGGGGGAGATTTCCATGGCAAGTTTACATCTTACAACATGAATATTTTCTCTTTCATTAGCAGATGATAGCATGCCACAAACATCCAACAACTTTTCACTCAGAAATTAAAGTTTTAAAAGAAAATTCTAATTTTTTGCTGCTGGAAATGAACCAAAAACAATTTATAGACCAAGAGAGAAAATGGTAAATATTTGGCTAAAAAAGCTAAATAAATGTAAGCATTACTGCTAATTTCATATCAATGTTGGTTTCAGTTAAAGAAAAAAAAGTAACTTTTTCAGTTTATTGTTGTGCAGGTAAAGGA